CTCCAGCTCATTGGTTCTCTCCCAGTGCATTCCCTAACCACCATGTCAATGCTGCCTTGGATTGTGGCAGAGATCCGGATGCTCAGTACAAAGTCTTCCAAAGAAGAACCTGGCATCAGCCAAATCCGACTTTATGTTTCACCAGCGAGTTTGCGATGTGAACCAGACACGGGGAAAATCCAGCAGTGGGATCCTTTGATTTGTTCAAGTTTGTTTGAATACAAGCCACAGCATGTCCACAAACTGATTCACAACAGCCACGATCCAAGTTACTTTGCTTGTCTGATAAAGGATGAAGCAGCAAAACAGCAAAGTATCTGCTATGTATTTAAAGCCGATGATCAGACAAAAGTAAGTAAAAAACCCCCTAAAACAGAAGCAAACATTCCTGGAGTTCCTTTTGTGGTGTTTGAATCCTATCACTACATTGTAAGACCTTAAGCTTGTACTTACAATTAGAGTCTGGGTCTCACTTACCAGCAAGTGTCACTTTACTTAATGTTAATGGTTCAGTTGAATTGGAACTGCTCAATATGTGAAGTGAAAGATGTGTACCTTCCTACAGGATTTGGGCCTAAATTTCATCACCTTAAAAGACACTTTAGTTTGGGATATAGACTGAAATCTTGGCACTCAAGTCAGTGAGAGTTTTTCTGTTGATGTCACTAGGGCTAGGATTTCACTCTTGAGTCACTGTGAACTTTATCTAATGCTGTACTCAGACGTCTCAAATTTCTGTTTTCCTGAGTTGAGACCTATGTGACTGGGAAACAGAGATACCTCCTTTCTCAGAAAGAGGAGGAGTAAGGTGGAACCTCCGTGTGTAGCGTTATCTCCAACCACAGGACACTGTGGAAACCTCTTCCTGGTTCTGTAGTCCCCCACAAAGCCTGGCAGATAGGGTTGGACAATGGGAGAAAGGCACAGTCTCTCTGACTCTGTGGCATGCAGGCTTGCTGCTGTGTAGTGTGAGACAGGAGCTGAGTGTGCATGTCTTGCACTGTGTGAGATTTAGCTGTCTGCATTTCATAAGAACCAATTGTGTCCTTGCTGAAAAGGCAGAAGCATTAAAATTGTCAATGTCTTCTGTCTGAGAGTAATGTGAGACAATAGCGCTTGTGAATGAGTAAAATGACTAGGATTTGACACAAGGCTGTTGTGATATACTGGAGACAAAATGGTGATGTATCCTTCACCTCTTGAGTGTTGACTCTAGTTACAAAGTTGGAAAACTGCATGCTTGCTTGACTCATAGGGGATGTCCTACTAAAGCACCCTGAAGGTATTATGTGAATATACACCACAAGTGGGATTTATGCCAACCTGCCCAATAGCAAAACACTATACAGTTCCAAATCCATGGTCTCAAGCTTAGAGCTCAAAACATATGGAAACAGCTTTAGTTAAATCCCCCCAGATAAAATGGCAGTTCCAGTAAATTAGAAGGCAAATGCGTTGTAAATCACAAGCGTTCAAGTGAGAAATCCTGTCAAGTTAAATATAGAATACCAAGTTTATGAACGTAAGAACAGAAATAAGGAATAGATGTTATAAAACCCGACAATGAATAGCAGTTGGTATTCAAGTAGCATTTTGCAGTTGCTTATGCACTTATTTTCACTTGTGATTTTTCAGGATTATGGTGAGTACAATGCACAATCATTTCTAGTACATTTTCTTCTGCATTTTCTTTTGCAACAAAGGATTCAGGTACTTTTTCTTCATGTTTGATCAAATTCCTGGACATGTTTGAATTGAATGAGAACAAAATAAGTCTCTAGTTGAATTTGCAGCTGTGTCTACATGTTTTTGGAGACAACACCCAGAATTTTTGGATGCCTGGTTTAGATTCACACAGCTATCTGTCCTTTCAAAAACTACCCTCCACCTGGTCTCTTAACTTGCCTTGATTACAAGGGTCGTTGCTCTAGAATTTTTTGCAGGCTAGGTAGACATCTAATCAGCATTTGTGGACCTATGTTTTAACAAAAGGATAATGGAAATGCCAAGTGTTCTTACCTTCTAAAGTGAAGCCCTACTTCTTTTACTTAAATTCAATGTCATTTCCACCTTTTAAGTAAGCCCCTTATGCTTTATAGGGTGCTGTTACTCTGCCCTGAATATTGTCATATAATGCCTTTTAGCTAATTGATGTTTGTATATTTATCAGGAGGAGTGAAATGATGTTACCTGTTTTGCAGAAACCCAACTTGAAAGCATAGGAGTGTACTGTATACTTTATTACAGATTGAAGGAGCTGTTTGTTAAAAGCCAGCATGGCATGAAGAATTTAGCATTATGTTGCTGCAGCTTATGCTCAACTTCAGAAGAAACACATTTTCGAAAATGGACTTTTGCAGCCTGTGTGACTCCTGTGCTGGTGCTCTTGTTTCTGAGGACTCTTTCTATTTTCTTCAGCTCTGTAAAAGAGACACAGCAGTACAGATAGGTTTAGTCACAAAATTTGCATGTTCATAACAACTCTTTACCCAGCAATGTTGGACATCTAGATTTTTGTGATATTTGCACTTCATCTATTTTTATTTGAAGAAAACCCAACAAACATCTGAATACCAATTACGATAACATTGTAAACTGCAAGAGCCACAATTCTTTGTATCTGCATATATAAATCTGTAGCAGGGCTATATTTGACAAAGAGATCTCGGAGTAAGTAAAGTCTGACTGAGTATTTGAAGTAGAAGGTGCTTTGTGACTTTGCAAATAAGTTCTGAGTATATCCTCATCTTAGTATAAGTAGAATAGAACAGGACAGAAGTATGTCTGCAGGAGAAGTAGAGTAGGAAGGTTAGCGTGTTAAGCCAAAAGTAGGTGAGTAGAAGACTAAATAGGGAAGGCCTTTGAAAAGGAGGACAAGCAGATTGAATGTCATGCAGACAGAGGAATAGCACTGGAGGTGGTAGAAAGTATAGAAAGCCAGGAGTGGTTGGGCTTTTAATATCAGCATTGCAGGTAGACTGCAGTCCATTAACGCTAGTTGTACTCCTTTATATGTACAAATTGAGCAAGAACATGCATCTGACTCGTGAGGGGTTATTCTTCTGTTTAATTGAAAGAATTTTGTTAATGGGAAATTATTTTTTGCTGGGTAATATTTTGCTCAGTTCTAGAGTTGATGGAGGTGTGGGAATTGCATGCAATGCTTTTCCTGAATGTGAATGTTGGTTTCATTGTTGCTGCATTACCAACATATCCACTTTAGAGAAGAAATCAGTAGATAGGTAATTAATAATAAGTGATGTCAGGATTCTTTGCAAGGAATTCTTTGTTCTGCTCCTCTTTAGCAGTGAGAGAAAAGGCAGTGCTCCATTGTGGTCTTTGTCTTCACTCTGTAGGATCTTCTGTAATTATTTCCATTGTATCATCATGGCAATGTATGGCACACTTCCCCTGATGAACAGCAGTAAGTAAGGAAGGATGAGATGACATTATGGAAAACAAGCATGTGAATATAGAGATCATTCCACTCAGTGCTAAAAGGATGGGTTTACACTGCCTAGGGAGAGCTGCTCTATGGATTACAATCTCCTTTCTAAGCAGATTTGTCAGACATGGGATCTGGAACCTGCCTTCCTTCCTTCTTCATGTATAACCTCAGTAAGTTTCCATTAGTTACAGATAGTGGAATTTCTTATCCCTTCACCCTCATTCTTTGGAGGTCCTGATGGGGCCTCATGATTAAGTAATTTCTGCCTGAGGGTGGGGCTGAAGCAGTGATGCATATTCTTTGTAGGTGCTCAGGAATGGAGCAGGATTCAGTTATATTGCCTGAGGGAGCTTCTGAAGGCTACTCATAGATCATGGGGCTTATATATACACCATGATGAGTAATGGTGGTGGAAGCTGAGGAAAAATTAACTCTCCACTAAATGTGCTTACAGGATAGTACCTTCGTCATAAGAATGCAGCCTTGTGGAACACCTTTGCAAGAGTGCTTGGGTACTGTAGGAGTGAGATGACTTAAATGAAAACATATGTGCTACCAGCCTCCATATCTCCCCAGTAACCTCTGGTCTGATGTTTGTGATGCTATTGACATCACTGTTGTTATTGAAAACTATATACTTTAAAAATTATTGGCATTTTAATCTTACACTTGAGAAGTGGTAGTTCTAAACTGTAACTGTAGGTGAGTGCCATTTCCTTCCTGAGCTCATTCTCCCCAAACACAGCATTGCTTTGCTTCTGTAGGATGCCTTCCTTTAGCACATCATTCACTACAAGGAATGAAAGAGAGAAATAACAAGAAGCTAATGGCATACTGTCACATGGTATCCCCCTCCAGCAGATGAAAAGTAGCCAAAACATTACAGAGGAAGAGTAATTTCTGTTCTTATTTTCAGTTTGGCAAAGTAAATCCAGACATCATTATGTTAATCTTTCTTTGGGGTACGGGATGATTTGTTTTACTTAGGTATGTTTTATTTTACTTGATGTATGTTTTGGCTGGTAAACAGAACACTGGTCACTAGTTTATCTGATTAATGCCCTGAACTAGTTTAGATTTAAGGCAAGTTAAGGTTGTACTGTCCTTTATTATACATCTATATTTATTGTAAATAAAGAATAACAGTCCTAAATTTAATGGTTTTACATAAGTCTGAGACAAAGAGGACATTCAGTACCTCAGCCTTTTCCATGTCCTGTGCTCCATTCAGCAGCAGACCCACATTATCCCTAGTCTACATAGATATAAAAACCTTCTTTGTTGCCTTTGACATTCCTTGCTAGATTCAATTCCAGGTGGACTTTGGCTTTCCTAACCATGTCTTTGTGTGCTCAGACAGTGTCTTCATCTCAGGTTACCTGTCTCTTCTTACACCTTCTGCATTCTCCCCTTTTGAGTTTTGCTAAGAGGCACTTGTTCATCCATGTGGGCATTTTTTTCTTGGTCATTTGGATGGACTGCTCTTGAGATTGAACAAGGTGATCTTTGAATAACAACCAATTTTCTTGGATCCTCTTCCCTCCAGAACCTTATTTGATGGTGCTGTTTCAAGCTGATCCCTGAAGAGGCCAAAATATGATCTTCTGAAGTCCAGGGTTGCGATCTTGTTTTTTACCTTGCTTCTCGGGATCCTGAACTCTACCATCTCATGGTCACTGCAGCCAAGGCTGTGCCTGACCCCAACAAGCTCTTCCATGTTGATAGGTATGAGGCCCAGCAGAGCAACTCATTGATCACCTCCTCTGTCATTTGGGCTGGCAAGTTGTTATTGAGGCTCCCTGAGAACTTACTGGATTGACTATGGCCTGACGTGTTTTTCCTCCAGCAGATATTTCAGTGGTTGAATTCCCTCATCAGGATCAAGGTCTGCTAATGGGAGGCTACTTTGAGCTGTCTGTAGAGTGCTTCATCCACCTGTTCTTCATGGTCACGGGGTAAAATAAACTCCTGTATGCATAGTAGAAGTCAGCAGACAGCACTGTCACCTTTTTTTCTCAGAATGCTTGAAAGTTTCCCCTTTTTTATTCTGTGATATGAACTGGAGGTTCAGGGGATTTGAGGGAAAGCCTAGAAACTTGACCTGATGTCTTGTAAGGAAAAATATTTCTGTGACATTATCAATTAACAATGCAGAACTAGAGTATGAAGAAATGTAAAAAGTTCAGCTCCAATTTTTAAAGGGTTACATTTCATTGGGGTGTTTTTGTTTGTGTGGGTTTTGGTTTTTTTTTTACCCCCAAGAGTCTGGACACAAGTTGTCATAACAGCCTGTAATATATACTTGTGTTTACCAGAGCAGTTAATGCTATAATGGCAAACACTGGGTAGAACTGTTCTTTTCTGCTCAGAGAAATATTGCCTGTGATTTAAAAAAGGATCACAGCTGCACAAGACGTGCACAAGTCTGTGTGGTGCTTCTGAATCTTCTCTGTATAGTCATCCATCAGGGACAGCTTTTGGCCCAGGCAGCTGCAGGAATGTTAGCATGAGAACAGCAGTGCAGTATGGTTGCAGCAGACTGGGACACCTGCTTGAGACCTGAGCCTGCTGACTGACTTTGCTTGTGCCAAATCTGCCCCACAGCGGACACAGATAAGCCCCATCTCTTTACACTGAGGTACTTACTGAAATGTAGCACTTGCCCTGTTGTTGAGCTGTTTGGTTACAACAGTGATGGGGTTTGTTGACAGAGGTCTTCAGGGGTTTTTTGCCCACCAGTTGCTTTAACAGTTACTATGCTTTTAAACAACCTTCACCTACTTTCATGAGTTAAAATAGCTTATGCACTTAAGTAGATCATGCTGTATTACCTGGAATGCAGCACTCTGTTACATGTTGTTTATGATCTGATTATGTGCTGAAGAAGCTGGTTTCAGATAATCAACACTTAGCTCTCTGTGAGGCTGCACAGAGCTGATCTTGTGAGTGAACTTCACATTATTCATCTATAAAAGGAATGGCAGAGGCCCAGTGAACTCCAAAGCAGTTGTTGTGAGGCTTAGCTTCATGACTGACGATTCTTACACAACTAGTTTTTACATTAGACTCTAAGATAAGCCTCACTAAGTATCTCCTTTTTAATACCACCATTTCCCTTTCTTAAAAGAATTCAGGGAAGACAATTTTAGAGATAGAGGTGACCTTTTTCTACTGTATTTTACTGCTTGATGAGTCTAGGGAGATTGAAACATGGTTCTTCTTTTGCAAAAGCATAAAACACCGAAACAAAATGAACTGGACTAATGTCAGTGCAAGTGAGAGCTTAATTTGGTGTTTTCTGCCTGCTGTTCTTGTGCACCTTTGGTTTTTTTGATTGAATCTGCATAATTGTAAACTGCTAACACTGCTTTTTGTTTTAGGACCCTCCTGTCTCTCAAATGCTAACTGAAGAAATTAATGTAAAAAAGGAAGGAAAAAAAATCCAACAGAACAAATGAAAAACCAAATACATATTTGTGCACATACACAGTCCTGTTTATAAAGTAGGTCAAAGTTTAGTGGTGTAAATATTAATAGACTGTCCTGTATAATGCAAACAACCAGCTGTGCTTTGGATACTCTTGCAATTAATCAAGCTTTATGGGCATCTTGAGCCTTCAGCATAAGTGTGATGACACCAGCTCTATCCTGGGATCTCTTCAAAGGACTTATGTATGCGAGATCTTTTCTCAGGGAACTGTAGTGACCCTGTCCCTAGCAGCATTATTCCAAGCCTTTATGGGGCTCTTGCCAGACCCTGGAGTGACTCTGTGACATCCTGCATCACCTAAGTGCTCCTGTGTTCACCCTCCTTTTTTAAGAAATATTGTGTGATTTCTCTCAACTGCATGTGTGATTGCCACATGTAATACCGGTGCTGTTTCCTGACTTAAAGTCATAGATAATGTCTGATCAAGGAAGATAAAATTAATCATAGGGTTTGTAAAAAAAGTTACCTATTCCCACTCTTACAACAGCAACATAAAAATTGTATTTTCTTGTGATTTCTCTTCTTACTGTGATTTCAGCAGTATAATAATCTGTATTAGGTGACATTGTCCATTTTCAACTTACATAATACTGAAAGTACCTGTGTGTTACTTGTGATGTCACATGCACTTTACTTTAGGGTCAGAGTTTATGGCAAGGTTATTTATTGTTCCTTTTCTTTTTGTGCTGGGGACTGTAAGAGAAATACAAAACAGTGGAACTTAGGCTAAAACATAATTAGTGGATTTCTGCTGGCTTCTCATCTGGCTACTAACCATTCCTGTTTTCTTACAAGGTCTAATGCTTGTGGTCTATTATGTCTAGCACAGATAATTGGAGCCACAAATATCTAAGTATCTTCCAAAGTTATAGTAGAGTTTTCTTCAAAAACCTACTGATCACACAGAGAAGAGCTCCTTTACATATCTCCAAAGAGAAGCTCACTCTTAACATCTTAACCTAGTCTGAGTCAGCTTTTGGTGGCCTCGTACTCTCTGGTTGCTGATTTGCACCTTCCCACCTTTTCCCCTATCCTTTACACTGTGGTATCATTCAGTGAGGTATTTCAGAGCACTTTAAATATTCCAAAGGAATTTATCAGAAAAGTGATAAAATTTCAGTGAAATCAGCATCCTAACACAATCTCAGTTTCATGTGCACCTTTGTGAGAGTGAGGGGGAAGCAAGGCCATGCCATCTAGAACAGAGGGAAAGTTGGACTTTGAGTCCCTGATTCATTCAGTCTTAAACTGCAGTGGGGTTTTAGTTCAAGTGTAATATCTGATGGTACACTGAGGAGATCTAGTAGCTGTCCTCTATCAAAAGAGACAGTTTTGTTATTCTTTTCTCTTGTGATCCATCCTTTGGTGTACATTCCTGGTGTTTTCCCTTGTGCTGGCATTGATGTTTGTGTAGCTCTGTGTTGAACTGCTTTAGGGCCTAAGGTAAAAAAAAATTAATTTCATTCTGCTCCAAAACCAACTTGATGCACCTTGATAGATCACCTTAAATTTTTAAATGTTTTAAATGTTTTGTCAAATTTCAAGCTGACATGAATTTGGAAACTAAAGTGAATGTAAAGTAATTCAGGGCAAATTTTTCCTGGTGCTTTCATAGGTAGTGGAAGTAGAGTGCACCAGGAGTACTCCAAAGGGATTGGGCTGTGCAGCAGGAAACCTGATGTTCTTTCTTTATATAATGACGTAGATCTTAAAAGTAGAACTATGAGGATAGAGGTGCACAGGGAGGCTTTCAGGCTTCCTTGACTTCTGTACACAGAGCCACTTAGACAATATGTCACCAACTTTGAAGTCTGTTTTGCTAGCATTGTGTGAGAAGAAATAAAAGGTGGAGTAGCCTTACCCTAAAAAGACATAAATATAAAGGAAACAATCTGTGTGCTAGTAAATATCTTCTTACAGTCTTGTGTCTGTTGCTGTTATGATCATGGGAATGGAAGGCTTTTAGTGCATTTCCATTATTTGCACCTATTTATCTTAAAATTACTAGTGAGCCTGCCCCTGAGGGGTTGAATGTGTTATGAAATACTGTCATGTGACAATTTCTCAATTTTTGCAGCTTCAACCTCACTATGGCACTAACTTTCTGGTACTCATCCCGTGCTTTATTTATTTCATTTTTGCAGCTGGAATAATTTCTCTCTGCTCTGCTGAGCAATACCCTCACCAAAAAATAAGGTAACCTTCTGTGACCAACTTCTTAAACTCTGCTAGAGTTTGGTGGTGCTGTATTCTTAAAATTTGATTGAAAAACTCAAAGGTAACTTAATGTGAAAGATGAATGTGAAAATTTGAGAATTTGGTGAATCCACACAGTTTTCAAAGAAGAATGTGGGCCTTCAATTGAGAGACTATGTCTATCCATGCATTACCCAAGCACTAATATTATATTCCTCAGCTTCACAAGTTGTTACAAATACAGAATAGGTAACAGCAAAGTTATTCAGCTCACCTTACTGTAGTGTAGTAAAGTCTGAGCTCTGCAAACACACTGGGTCCCCTCATCGCCTTCCAGCCTAGTCAGTCCTACAGCTTCAAACAAAGGCACAGCCAGCAGAAAGCCCTGGGCAAATAAAACAAAAACCCAAAACAAAACAAAAGAATTGTGCCCGTGGAAAAGTTCCCAGTGAGAAACAGGATGCGTGCAGAAACCCAAGTTGCATATACAGAATTAAGAGTTCAGAAAGTACTATTTTAATATAGCAACATTAAATATAAGCTGAATGCACAGTACTATAAAGAAAAATAATTAACGATAAAGGAATTCCAATGTATTTGCTGGAGTTACCCACTGCTGTGGCTTGCTGAAGTTAATTTAAGACTAAAGGACTTTTGGAAATTTGAATGTACCTCACCGATCTCCAAAGACAAGTTAGAAAGTCTAATGTAGATTCAATACATGGTTTTATTTTTGTTTAATTAATTAATGCTCCTAAGTAATATGAAGTATGCACAGTTGTGATATTTTTAAATTAATTTTGTGGATACATGGTGCAGTGATAGTTGTATGCAATTTAAAGCCTGAAAGCATATATTAGAGAGGAACAAAAAAACCCAAATCCAAAACCCTGCTTTGAAAAAGAACAGTTTTTATTAAAAAATCAGTCTTACCTAATAAAGTGCTAGTTTCTGTGGCTCACAGTACAATAGCATGTTGAGGACAGTGTAATTAAGTTAGTGAAATGTGGGAAGATAGCTTTTGTCAAATACAGTAATAAACAAAGGCTGTATCATGTAGGTTAGTACAATCTCTGCTGACAGACTCAAGAGCAGTTCTGGCACAAATCAGATTGTAGGACTGGGTCCTACATCAGCCATCTTTCCTCAAGACTCATAGAACCAAAACCTTTCTATTTTCTGTGCTTCACAAGTTTATTTTGAAAGCTTGTGCTCACTCGGAACTACTTAAACATGAACATTCTTGTTCAGGCAGTTATATTTTCTTCTTTTCAGGTTCTAAAATGGCCCTAAAGGACAAATGCAAGCCATCCACGTTAAAATATGAAGATGCCAATTCAAAAATTATGATACTGAGAAAATCACCTTCCTGAAATAGCTCCTTATTTTTCCATGCAGGCAGCTTTTCAGTTAGAGCTTTGCCTTCCCTGGGCTGACATTTATACTGTGCCCCCAAGGTCATCAGATGGGGGCTCTTTGACTGTAGTGGAGCAGAAAACCAAAGCAGAAGAGGCACATATAACCTCTGTATTTACTTTAGCAGTACAATCTCCTATCCTGTTATATGTCAAAGTGAATAATGGTAGAAAATCATTGTCGTAAAATCAGTGCTTTCCCTTGGCCGGTGTAGGCACAGTTGTTCTGTATTCCTGTTTTTTTTACCCTCTCTGTGGACATCAAGTTATGGGAAGGGCTGTGGGAAATATTTTCCTAAGGAATGATTTGTGTGACTGGACAAATACAGGCTTAAATGAATATGTGTGTCTGCCCTAAAGGTTGATCATCGAGGATCTGATACAAGGATTGAGTGGATAATGCCAGTTTATACTTGGTTTGTCCTTTGCTATGAAATTGCTAGTTGATGTGGACTTCTCCTTTCTTTCCCACCCTCCCCCCACTTTTCCCAGAGTGACAGTAATTGAGATGTATTGCTGGTCATAAAAACAGCCTCACTGCTGGTAATTCCTCATGCATTGGGTTAAGTTTGATCCTTCTGCATAACTGATTGAATGCTTTTCATTTGCAAGCTTCTTGTTTCAACCTTTAAAAGAACCTCACAACACTAACTTCACACATGCAAAATGTGCTTAAAAAATTGCATTCTTTGTAATCCTGATGTATTGTGGCTTGTTGAGTTGCTTTGTTGGTTATATGCTGTGCTACTAATCATAACATAAAGAACTTGCACAGAAAGAGAGAATAAAAGTTGAATTTTATAACTCTTGATATTTCTGGAGGCAACATTCAACACAAAGGTGTAAAATAGAGCTTGCAGCTAATATCTGCTAGTATATTTTACATCTAAATCTGTGGCTAACTGAAATGGAGGTGTTTCTTTGAGAGCCTAGAAAGCTCTCAATAAATCTTATTTCTGAGTCTTTGAAGCTGAAAATGTATATGCCCTTTAAATTATAGAATATGCTGAATTGAAAGAGACCCACAAGGATCCCCTTGATCAACTAAGTGGGTTACCTTGTCATAAAAGGAAATCAGGTTGGATAAACAGGACTTTCCCGTCATGAAGCTGTGCTGGCTGTGACCAATGACTGTGTTGTCCTTCAAGTGTTTTTCAATACTTCCCAGAATAATCTTCTCCATAACTTTACCAGGCACTGAAGTGAGACTGACAGGCCTGTAGTTTCCAGGGTCCTTCTTGCCCTTCTGGAAAATCAGGACAACATTCGCCAGCTTTCAGTCAGCTGGAAGCTCTCCAGGTTCCCAAGACTGCTCAAAAATCATCGAGAGAGGTTTTACATTGGCATCAGCCAGCATTTTGAGGATTCTGGAATGAATCCCATTAGGCCCCATGGATTGCAG